CCTGGTTGTTGTTGATAGCCATTCCAAGTGGCTGGAGGTTGTGCCTGTGTCTTCTACCACAGCTGCCAAGACTATTCAAGTGTTGAGAAACATTTTTGCTGCACACGGGCTGCCAGATGTTCTGGTGTCAGATAACGGTCCTCAATTTACTTCTACTGAGTTTCAGGGATTTCTACAGGCCAACATGATCCGCCACGCTTCTTCGGCTCCTTTCCATCCTTCCACCAATGGTCTGGCTGAACGGATGGTCCGCGTCGCCAAGGACACCCTCAAGAAGCTGACTTACGGCAATTGGCATCACAGGTTGGATGACTTTCTTCTAGCCCATCGTACTACTCCACGCACTGCCACGGGTAAGTGCCCGGCCGAACTCCGTTGGGGTCGTCGGCTCGTGACTAAATTGGACAGGCTGCATCCGGAGCATGTAGCTTCACAGGTGTCTCAGCCACACCCACCATGGGTCCTGCATGAAGGTGATCCTGTCTGGGCCAGGAACTACGGGCCTGGACACCTCTGGGTCCCGGCTGTGGTCTGCAAGGTCTCGGGGCCTCTGTCCTATGAGGTGTCCCTGGAAGACGGCCGCGTTCTTCGCCGCCACATTGATCAACTACGTGTGAAGCGGGACTCGCCTGGGGTTCCTCCTCAGTCTCCTCTAGGGGGGGAGGAGGAATGGGGAATGCATTCTGGGAATCAGAATCTGCTGCCAACAACGGTTGTGGGGAACGACACGGGCACTCAACACCCAAGTTCCACAGGAGATTCAGGTAGCAATTCATGGGGACGGGGGCACACAGACACCCCCACACAAACTCCAGCCTGGGAGTCCCACCGGAGGTATACTAACTATCCACACCTCACAAACAATACTCCAGACACGGAGAATAACTGGGAGCATACTCACAACTCACAACATGCAAGAGAGCAGGCAAAACAGAGGGGGAACACATCCTTTGCTGAAATGGCTCATAGAAGGATGTCCCCACGCATAAGGGCTAACAGGGAGGCATACCTAGACCCTAACACTACAGGAAGGAGCCACGAAAACCACACTCCATCAAGAAACACGGAGATGAGTTCAGAGGGGTTGGAAAACTCCATAGGTGGTAGGTCAACCAGGTATAGCGATCAACAGAGTTCTGACTTCTCAAGCCAAGGAGACGGGCAGGAAAGTCAAACAGAAGTCACAAGACAACCACAGGGCAATTCACCTAGTGTGGGAAGCAACGGGAAAAACACTACAAGTTCCCCAGGTCCGAGAAGGTCGCTCAGGGTCAAGGGCCCTCCCAAATACCTTGCAGATTACGTAAGGTGAGCATGTTAATTGCAATAACTGAACTAGAGGTCCTGGCTGGTTGACTCTACATAAACGATGTTGGGGCCATTGGGTCTCTGTACGACGGAACAGTCCCACATCTTACACACACTGTGTGACTTTGACTCAACAGTTAATTATATAACCATCACTATGATGGCATCCATGTGGGCGCAGTATTATTTCATCTAGGGGGGAGGGGTGTTGTGTCCTGAGCCTGCAAAAGCAGGCTCGGGACGTTGCAAGAGTCCCGGGCATTTGCAAAAGCTGCCCGGGACCAGACTGAGTGGCGCCGGCCTTGCAGGCATGCGCAAGGCGGGAAAAGACCGCCTTGTGATTGGTTGGATTTGCCCGGGGATCAGAAGGTATAAATAGAGGCCTGCGTGCCTCTGCTCGGGTTGTTCGTAGATTGGAAGCAGAGAATAAAGACTTGTTAGAAATGCTTCGTCTCAAGCGCCATTATTCTCCGGACTTAACAATCAGCATACCCACATCAGCCTTTGTGCACCTCAACAATTTAAGGGTATTCTCTACCCATTAAAAGATTGCAGAATCCTGCCTTTTCTGCATTTTCAAAAATCTCTGAAATCTTCAATGGCAGTAATTTGACTTCTGAGGTATTTTGATTTTTTTATAGCTATTGGATCACTTTTAGTATGACACTAATGAGACTCAAATGTGTAATTAGAAACATTTATATCAGACTCAAATATATTGATTATCAGAGGGATCTATGTGCATAACGCAAATTAAATTAATAATTTCAGTTTGTGTCTTCTTGAATTATTTACATAATATCAATGATGAAAGAGTTAAGTGTGTGTGTGTGTGTGTATGACAGTGAGGGAGAGAGATGGTCATTTCCTGAGCTATTCTGAAACAAAATCAGCTCACTTCCTATTATAAACACTCTTGAATGTAGCACACACTGCAGCAGGTAATTATTATTCATTTGTCATTTTTTTGCTTAAAATATATACTGTACATTCTAAAAACAATGTGTGATAGTTCAAGTTTATTATTCAATAAAAATAGTACTATAGTTAATTACATTGTAACTACTGATAAAAGGCCACCATTGATAAATTAAACAATTGTAAGTTATTTTTAAAACAGATGATACACTAATATGCAATCAGCAATGAGTTGGGGAAGAGCAGTTACTGTGTAATCAGAACTATTATTAAAACTACATAAGTAGTTGATGTTCTAACATAATTGACTATTATAAATAATGTTGCATTTTAGTTAAAGCAGGAAGAAATACATTAGTACTATTTCTGCAACTGAGGCAGGCATCTGATAAAACAAAGCAATCTTTACAATGCTGTTCTAGAGAAAACAAAAGTTAGGAGAAGATTCATAAACTACACAAATGCTGTAATAACTTTATTGGGGGGGGGATCTTTTTTTGCTCCAGCTGCTTTGAAAACAGAACATGGGGAATTATAGCTTACAATAGCATTTATTTTTTACATGCATAAAGAAACTTTCTTTGTTGTTTCTTATAGAAGGTAATTGATTGAAAGTGGCTTTTACAGACTTGCCCAGACTCTTTTCTGAAATGTAAAATATTGTATAATAGCTATTCCACCAAAATGTTTAGGTATTTAAAAATGTGATTGCTTTTTACTCCTACCTCCAAATACCCACTGTCTCTTATTTGTACTGATTTGTGCTTACCTACCCAGTCTATTCACCTGTAATGTGATTGTTATCATTGATTCTGTATCATGTTCAGTATATTGGTTAGAATGTTGGACTGGGAAGCTCATAGAGTGATTGCAACTTATTCATTTATCAGCTTAACATACTTCATAACTAGAATCTGAGGATAAAAGATGGGGAAGGTATTGTTTTATTGATCATTATAATAAGTAGATTAAAATCTCATAAATTAAAGACAAGCACTCATACTGTATCATATTTGAAAATGTACATGTGGGGTGATATTTATATATTTGGTTGAATTAACTGAAATGAAAGTAAGGAAAGCATGTATATTTTTATATAGTCATTTTTAGAATGCAGAGCTTCCCTATAATATTAGTTTCTTCTTTTGAGCCACCAGCAGAGAACGCTGGCTATTATTTTGTATTTCTTTATAGGATTTGTCAGAATATTTTTGCAGGACAGGAGCAAACCGTAAGATGCAATGAATATTGTGGGAATGTTATGGTTTTATAATATACAGTACTCAGTTTTCTTAATATTTTCAGAAAACCTGAATATGGTAAATTAAAAGCACAACTATAGAAAACACAGTTTCAGACTCTTGTTACTAAGCTAATGTGCATAGAAAGGATCAGAAAGAAATCATCAATAGGGAGATCAAGTCTGTATTTCTGGTCCATAGAAGTTCTCTATAAAAAAAAACACAAGGATATTATATGCTTTCTTCCTGCCAGGAATAATGTGGTGCATCCCACTCCATCCCATCCATGAGTATTGAAGAAGTCTCTGGTTTTGTTCTGATTTTGTAAAGTCATGAATGTCAATTTAAGGGAATCTCATTTTCCATGTGTTCATGCTTGATACTCTAAACAGAAATTACTGATCCAATATAAAGGGTAGCTATAGCTTACCAGAATTTCTGATGAAATAAGCAGTGCTGCTTTTATTGCACCAGAAATGGTTGTTTATCAGTGTTACATAATCAACAGCATGTTCAGTGGAGAAGCACATTAGTGCCCTCTCAGAACAGTTTGAATGACTTTATTCTTATAGCAGTTTACAAAATAAAATCTGAACAAAAACATAAAAACCAATAAAGTCATATAAACTATAACTATGAATATAAACAACTATAAAAGCCATAAACTATAAATTATATCAGAATCTGATATGCAATCCACTTTGTGTTCAGCTCATTCAGATATTACATTATATCATGATCCTGTATGAGGTTTTTTTGTTCCATCCAATCACCCCTTTCATGAGGAAAGGAGTATATTTATTTGTGTACAATGTAGTGTGTGTGTGTGTGTGTGTGTGTGTGTGTGTGTGTGTGTGTGTGTGTGTGTGTGGAGAGAGAGAGAGAGAGATCGAGATCAACCAACAGGAGGCAATACATGAAGTGATGGTTATGAGAAAATAAGTTACTATGGCAAGGGTTCCCTACTATAGATACATGAGCCAAAACTGGAAGAAAGTCCCCTAGCTGTGGTCTCCATCTGCCTATTAAGCAGTAGCCATAAATCTAGAAAGATCCCAAGTCATGTACCTGCTCATTTTTCAAGAATTATCACCAACAATGAAAAAGAGAGATTTCTTCTGCACAGTGAGCAACTAGGGTTGCTAGGGTTCAATTTGAGACTATTTCATCCTATTCAAATATATATAGTCTGAGGACCTCAGTTTAAGACTTCACTGCATCTCCAGCTTGGTTCAGAATGGAGATATGTAATTGGAACATGGAAGAACTCCAGAAATAAGGATCCACAAGGTTGATTTCTTCTTACCTACCAAGAACTGGTACCAGTCACTCAAGCAGAAGTGAAACAATTGAAGCACAGCACCATCAAGCCCCAACTCTTTTAGTTAGTTGAGGAATTATCATGAGCAATGATATTAAAAATCACTGAGAGATCTAAAAGTACTAAGGGGTGCCATCTATGTCCAAACAGAGGTCATCTACCAAAGAAATCGATGCTTTTTCTGTGCCATGACCATGTCTAAATCTGATTAAAATGGGTCTAGACACTCTACTTCCTCAACAGTGCTCTGTAGTTGACAATAGACCATTATCATTCTATTAGTATTCCATTCTGGGCATTATAATATTCATTTCTATTTATTGTAGACAATGATTTCAGACACAGTATTCCTATTCCATGACTATTCAGGCACTACAGCAATTAAGATGATAATGATTATGGCAACAACAGTGATGATAAAGATTTTCTCTCAGAAGAAGTCATTACACTGTTGCTCTGATTTGCTCTTTAGTTAAAATAATAAGTATATGGAGATTCTCAGTCATCCAGGTCAAAGATGCTTTTTCAAACGGCAACTGGACTTTTGTTTTTTCTTGAAAATGTTTTGCTTCTCATCCAAGAAGCTTCTTCAGTTCTGACTGAATAGTGGAGGATGGACTGCGAGGAATGTAAATCCTTCCATCCTCCACCATTCAGTCAGAACTGAAGAAGCTTCTTGGATGAGAAGTGAAATGTCTTAAAGGAAAAACAAAGTCCAGTTGTCTTTTGAAAAAGCACCTTTGGGTCATTAAAATAGTAAGAGACCACTGAAAGTGATATATTTTTAAATGACATTTAGTTGGGTTTGTCTTAGTTAGGAGTCATTAGCTACTCTTGGCTATAAATAACAATCATTCTAATCCAATATTCCTGAAAGACCCTTAGATAGAAAAGTTTTCTATAAGGTATTATTTTTTAAAGTTTACTTTTTTGCCTATCCATCTATTACATAGCAGGATAAACTGCTGCTTCAGAGTCCTATCACTCTTAATATCTCCAAAGTAACTGCTTTGTTCAAATTGTCATTTTGAATATGACATAAGGAAATTATTAATCATAGTGGAGGCAATTATGTTAATTACATTGACTTAATTGAAGAACAAAATAAAAGTTAAGTGCAAATAAGTGACTATTACTGTTTGCCTTGTTGTCAGCTTCCTCTGACCAAAATTTGGGAATGCAATGCCCAATTTTAGTGAGTCCTCATTCCTGAAGCAATTGTGCAGTCTGATATAGTACATGATTGGTTGCAAGATTTGGGGGTTACCTTCAAATGTGTGTTTCAGCAATGTGCCCTCCGAGTCTCACAACCCTTTCATGCAAATCATTTCCACCACTTCCTCATTTCTTCTAGCTTCTGTTTCACAGTTTCAAAGTCTGTTTACAGCACAAGTTTTTGAGGGTAGAATGCACACAGCTGCCACATGAACGTTACGATAAAATCATGCCACACAGCAAGTTATTTTCACATGGCAAGCTGTTTGTGTGCAGTGATGCAATGTGCAGATCAGCCAAGCTTGAAACCACTAGATCTTTTTTAAAAAAGGGCTTGAAGTAAGCAGAATATTCTTCATTAGGCTGGCAGAAGAGATAAAAAGATTATTGTTGAGATTTGCTGGTAATAATATTGCCAGAGACAGAGACAGTTGTGAACTCATCCATTTCAGTGAAACACTTTTTTGTTTTGCAATATTTATTCTGGTTGGTTAATCACGAGAGCTGTCCTAGAATGAAATATTTTAGTTACTTTGAGGCTAGCACTATATCACACATAAATAAACATTTTACTAATACTCTGGTGGGGAATTTTTTAAAAAGGAAAAAGAAAAAATGTGTTGAGTAGAGGCATAATTTGAGTGGATGAACAAAAATAATAATAAAGAGTTCTTTAACAAATTTCTGCTTCTATTGATTCATTTTTTAGAATGAGATGGGCAGCGTATACATTTAATTAATAGTAATGTAATAATATTGAACCAGACCAAATTTGCCTCCAGCAAATAATACTTCAGGGAAATTGTGTATAAATATTTGTAGCCTAAATTGGTAATGCCATACATGAGGTTTTTTTTAACATCACCCATGGGTGCATAATCAAAATTTGCAGAGTTATAGTAGGCAAGGTACACAGGAGGGGATACGAAAGTTCCTATCATTTTTGCATTTGTATCACCAATATTCTAGACTTTGAGTGGGGAATCTGTGGCTCTCCATGAATAATGTACTAAGCACAGGAAATGTTGATAACTATATCTAGATGGTCACAGATAACATCAACTCTGATAAAGACCTGGTGGCAATTAAAAAACTTAATTGTGGGGCAGAGTCTTATTCAATAATGCCAAACTGATTTTCTTACAGTATTACCTTTTTCTCTAGGCTAGAGAGATATTTACTCAGATGATCTCCAGATGTTTTAAATCAGTGGTTCTCAACCTGTGGTCCACAGACCCTGAGGGCC